AAGATTTTGACTCGTGCCAGAACGCCATCTCTGTGACTTCAATAAAGCGAATCAACGTAACTGTTGCGCCATGGCAACCCTGAACCGTGCCTAAACACCATTCCTGGTACGTTAGCCATGGTCAGTTGTGAAACTCTTGCATTTTGTGAAACTCTTGTGAGCGACGCTCAGGCGAGGCCCACATTTTGAAAAGGAGCTGTCCTCAATCCGTGAAGCTCTCACACATGTTTGAAACGAATGTGCGCGGCGCCAAGGCGAAATCCACAGTTTGAAAACGAGCCGCCCTACATCCGGGAAACTTTGGATTGTTTGAAATCGAATTCGCGGCGCTCAGGCGAGAGCCAGATTCTGAAAACGGTCCGCTCTCTATCCGTGAAAGTCTTGCACACTTTTATGACGAGCGTGCGTGGCGCTAAGGCGAGAGCCACATGTTGAAAACCACCCGCTCTCAATATTTGAAACTGTTGCCAGTTTGCACGCTCCAGGTTTATGGGAGAAAAGTAGGGAGTCTCTGGCGAAACGCCCGGCCCGCCCTTCTGATTGGCCTCGTGGTGCGACGGGGAGGAGGTATTCAGAAGGAAGTTGGATGGAGGAGGAGGGGGAGGAGGATGACAGGTATAAACCCAAGAGTCATCAACGATGTTGGAATACACCCTCCCTCCAAGCTCCCACTTTCTAGGCCCCTACAATGGTTCATTTCCTTCCACTGAGGGAACTGCATCGTTGGAAGACAGCAGTTTGAAGATCCTGAAGCATGCCAAAACATCGTTCTCGGGATTTCATCGCCACGGATCAACCTGACTGCTGCGTCTTGACGATCCAGACTTGGGCCAGAACGCCATTTCTGGGATCTCAACAGCGCGAATCACCGTAACTGTTGCGCCCTCATAATCCTGACTCCTTCCATCCAAAACACCATAACCTTCAAACGAAGAATTTGCGCGCAGCGCTACGACGAGAGCCACACTCTGAGAATGAACCGCCGTCAATCCATGAAACTCTTGCAAGTCTGTCTTTTATAGATAAAGAAAAAACGAATGGGCGCGGCGCTCGGGCGAGAGCCACAGCTTGAAGGGGACCCGCCCTTCATCCGTTAAAGTCTTGGCATCGTAAAAGAATAGGATGTGCGCGGCGCTAAGGGAGAGAGCCACATTCTGAAAACGATTCGGCAATCCATCCGTTCAGCCCTTGTAAGTTTTCAAAACGAAAGTGCGAGGCGCTAAGGCGAGAGCCACATGTTGAAAACGATTCGCCCTCCGTCTGCGAAGCTGTTGCCGGGGCTTACGCTTCAGGGTCATGAGCGGTAAGGAAGTCTCGGGCGAAACGCCCGGCCGCCTAAAAGCTGGCCTCGGGGTGCGACAGGGAGAAGCTATTTATAAAGGAGAAGGATGGAGAAGAGGAGGAACAGCACGAAGCTCGGGGAGAAGGGGAATACCACGGAACAGCAGAAGGAGTGGGAGGGGAGAAGGTCGAGGGGGGAGGAATTTCAGGAGGAGCAGGAGGGTGATGAACGAGAGTGAGGAGGAGGAGGAGGAGGAGGAGGAGGAGGAGGAATGTCAGAAGGGGGAGGAAATTAGTTTAAGGATTCGTAGGAGGGTGCGGATGGGGAGCGCTAGGAGGATGAGCGGGAGGGATTGGGGAGAGGGAGGACTGAGGAGGAGGATGAGAAGGAGAGAGAGAGAGAGGAGGAGGACGAGGAGGAAAACCACACGCAGGATGGAGGAAGAGGGAAGCCGCGAGGAGGAGAGGGAGGGGTTGGGGGATGAGGAATGCCATTAGGAAACAGATGAAGGAGGAGAGGGAGAGGAGGAGGAATGTTAGGATAGGTCGGGGACCTATTTGTAGCCAGCCTAAAAGACCCTCCGTTCCTGATTCAGCTTTCCGGATGGTTGCGCGATGGCTGTATTTCATTTTGCCGCGCCGGGGCGTCACGAGCCCATCCCCTCCGAACGATATGCGGTCTTCGCACTGCGCGGGTGAGTGGCGTACACTGTGTGCCCCTGGCGCAACAACATCGCGAACCCGCGCGCGCGAGATTCGTGCCAGCGCCGCTGCGGTCGTCTGTGCGCGAGGTGGCGCGACCGCCGGCGTGGCGCTCCGCTTCCTCCCCGCCCTCGTCGTCGGCCCCTAAACGGTGTGTGGTGAGTCACTGGTCGGCACGCACGAGATGGGTACGGAAAGAATGGGTACAATGCCCAACAGCAGTTGGGGTGACCGCACGGTTTTGGGACGGGGGCCGTTCTCCGAGGATGCCTCGGGCAACTGGGGCCTCCAGGTCCCCCAAAAAACAGTGCGGTGACGGACCGCTGTTGCGCAAGCGCGGTTCCACGGAGGGTGCTCCGGCCGCCGTTGTCAGCCAAGGCGCAGATGTAGCTTCGGTGGTATGCTGGAGGGGTCCATCGAGCACTGCGCGCGCTGCCCAGTCTCGGACGCGTCCGCGCGGCGCCGGCCGGCGGCCCCGTCTGCGGCGGACGGCCTCGCAGCGTTCCTGCTGCTCGACCCGCCAATGACGAGCCTGTCCCTGGATCCGGTCAGGCTCCTCCTCCTCCTCCTCCTCCTCCTCCTCCTCCTCCTCCTCCTCCCTCGCCCCTCCTCCTCTTTACCTCCTCCTCCTCCTCCTCCTCCTCCTCTTTATCCTCCTCGTCCTCTTTATCCTTCTCCTCCTCCTCCTCCTCCTCCTCCTCCTCCTCCTCCTCCTCCTCCTCCTCCTCCTCCTCCGCTGTCGTGCTCTCCGCGGTGCGGACCGCCGCTCTGAGCAGGCTGGCTCTGGGCGGCGGGTGCGCTCCGCCAGGCCCGCCAGGGGCTGGGCCGCGGGCTTCCCTCGGCGAGAGCGCGTTTTCGCGCGGGCGGGCGCGCCGCCGCGCCGGGTGGCTTTTTGTTAACCCACCCGCTCTGCGGATAGGGCGCCCCGTCTTCTCCGTCGCCTCCTCCTCCCCCCCTCTCGCGCGGGCGGGCGCGCCGCCGCGCCTGGCGGCTTTAACCCACCCGCTCTGCTGATAGGGCGCCCCGTTTTCTCCGTCTCCGTCTCCTCCTCCTCCCCCTCCTCCCCGCGTCCTTTTTGGCCGTTGCCGTTTGACTTTCCGACCGGCCGCGGGTCCCCTCTTCTCTGGCAGTGATCGTGCCTGGCCGGCGCCCTTGCGACAAGTAGCGCGCCCTGCACCGTGCAGTGTCCGGCCCGCATGCCCAGCGCAGGGCCGGTGATCGGCGCGCAAGTGTACAGCACGGCATGCCGCCACACCTCTGGGCGTCATACGGTGCACGCTTTCGCGCCCCCCTGTGCCCTGGCCGCGTAGCTGATTGACTGCGGGGCACGCTGCGCCCAACTGCCGATTGGAGTCCACCTCGCCCTCGTCTCGTTCCCCTCCCTCTCGCCTCTCGTCGGCGGAGCGCCCGGTGGCCTTTCTCGGGTATGGGCCTGCTCTCCGCATCCTCTGCCTGTCTCGTCTTCGCTCCTCCTCGAATGGTCCAGCTCCACAGCTGGGAAAGTGCGTGAAGCTCGGTCGGCGGCCTGTGCAATGTTGAAGTTACATCGTGTTCGCTTGCTAGTTTCCTCCGAGTGGAGCTGCGCTCGCGGGAGACCAGTCTTCGTTTCATGGTATGCTGGTCTTTCGGATTGGCCGCTGGGGCCATCGAGTTTCGAACGCAGCAGTGGCTCGATTTCGCAGAAACGTTTGAAGTGGGTGTTCGTGTCGGCAGGCCGGTGCTGGCCGACGCCTGCGACAGACAGCAGGCCAATTTCGGGCGTGCTGTCCTATCCTCGATTTGAGGCTGGTCGCTGACTGATGTAGCTCACTCCTCGTCCTCCTCCTCCTCTTTCGCCTCCTCCTCCTCCTCTTCCTCCTCCTCCCCATCCTGTCCCCGACCCGGTGCTGTTTATTCCCAACCCTCCTGCGTTGGGTATTCGTTTTGAATAGAGCACTGCGGTCTCCACCTTCCTTCCTTCCCGCCTCCTCCTCCTCTCTTCGCTCCTCCTCTTCTCTCTTGCCTTTTACGTCATCCCTTTGGGGCTGCGATCTGTGAAACTGTCGCCACGTTCGAGGGCTGCTGGTGGATCCAGCGGAGTGAGGCACCACGCAGATTCAGATTAGACCTCGCCATCCCTGGGGGGCTGCGATCTGCGAACCTGTCAACACTTTCGAGGGCTGCTGGTGGGTCCAGCGGAGTGAGGCACCACGCAGATTCAGATTAGACCTCGCCATCCCTGGGGGGCTGCGATCTGCGAACCTGTCAACACTTTCGAGGGCTGCTGGTGGATCCAGCGGAGTGAGGCACCACGCAGATTCAGATTAGACCTCGCCATCCCTGGGGGGCTGCGATCTGCGAACTGTCAACACTTTCGAGGGCTGCTGGTGGGTCCAGCGGAGTGAGGCACCACGCAGATTCAGATTAGACCTCGCCATCCCTGGGGGGCTGCGATCTGCGAAACTGTCGTCACTTTCGAGGGCTGCTGGTGGGTCCAGCGGAGTGAGGCACCACGCAGATTCAGATTAGACCTCGACTTTCGAGGGCTGCTGGTGGGTCCAGCGGAGTGAGGCACCACGCAGATTCAGATTAGACCTCGCCATCCCTGGGGGTTTGCGATCTGCGAAATGTCGTCACTTTCGAGGGCTGCTGGTGGGTCCAGCGGAGTGAGGCACCACGCAGATTCAGATTAGACCTCGCCATCCCTGGGGGGCTGCGATCTGCGACACTGACGCCACATTCGAGGGCTGCTGGTGCGGTCGCCACATTCGAGGGCTGCTGGTGGGTCCAGCGGAGTGAGGCACCACGCAGATTCAGATTAGACCTCGCCATCCCTGGGGGGCTGCGATCTGCGACACTGACGCCACATTCGAGGGCTGCTGGTTGCGAAACTGTCGCCACATTCGAGGGCTGCTGGTGGGTCCAGCGGGGTGAGGCACCACGCAGATTCAGATTAGACCTCGCCATCCCTGGGGGGCTGCGATCTGCGAAACTGTCGCCACATTCGAGGGCTGCTGGTGGGTCCAGCGGAGTGAGGCACCACGCAGATTCAGATTAGACCTCGCCATCCCTGGGGGTCTGCGATCTGCGAAACGGTCACCACTTTCGAGGGCTGCTGGTGGGTCCAGCGGAGTGAGGCACCACGCAGATTCAGATTAGACCTCACCATCCCTGGGGGGGGCTGCGATCTGTGAAACTGTCACCACTTTCGAAGGCTGCTGGTCAGTCCCGCGGAGTGAGGCACCACCCAGATTCAGATTAGACCTCGCCGTCCCTGGGGGGCTGCCATTCTGGGAAACTGTCACCACTGACGCGGGTCGTTTCAGAGGTGAGGTTGCCCCTCGGGCTCTCTTGTCACTCAGTTCTTTTGACCACGAGCATGATGAATGATCACTGTGGCGATTTGGCTTGGAAGTGAGGTTGCCCATCATGCCCGCTAATCATTCCCGATTCTTACACCATCGCCAGGTTGTGAAATTAATTTCTTGGGTCGCTGCGATGGCTCCTCGCCCCTTCCTACTGGGTTCGTCCTTCTCCTGTCCCTCGTTCCCGCCCCCGCTATTGTTTAACAAGCCTTGAGACATACTCCTCGTCTTATCGATTGCTGTTTTGTGAGTCGTGCAACATTACGCATCCCATGTAGGTCGCACTACAAATCGCCGCGCCTGCACTGTCACGGTTCCTGCTAATGTTTCCCTACTCCGCTTGCCACTTGATGCCATTGGGTTGGGTACGTCGCAGGGTAATTTTCCCCGCAAGCCGCGCACGTGCCGCCGAGTTTGTGAGCCTCGTTTCTCTCTATCCTGTTACTGCCTGCATGTCCGCCCCTCCCGGTCCGCCTGTCTCACACTACTTCCGCTGCGCCCGCCCGCGGGTTCTGCTGCCGTGGGGGTGTCCGATCCCTTCCCTTCCCTTCCCAACAAATGAGCCCGGCGCGACCCCAATTAATGGACGATGACGATTAATAAATGACCCGGGGTCGTGTTCACGCGGCAGCGCCCGGGATGGCGATTAGAAAAAGCTGGCCGCGGGCTGGACAACTATTTTTAAACATCGTTCTCCTCCAGTCAGGAAGCTGTGCAGAAATCTCAGGAAACTATGTTTTAATCGTTCTCTCCCATTTTTTAAATTAATCGTCACCCCGCATTCGGGGACCAAATCCTATTGCATGGGCGCACTGGTTGGCGTTGCTTGGCATTGCTCGGCGTTGCTCGGCAATGATTTGCACTGCTTCGCGCTGCCTGGCATCGATGTGCACTGCCTGGCACTGCTTGGCATTCCTTGCTCTGCTGCTTTGAACTGCTCGGCATGCCGTGGCATTGTTTGGCATTGCGTGGCATGGCTTCGCACGGATTGGCATTGCTTTGTGCTGTTTCGCTCTGTTTGGCGTTGCTTGGAATTGCTGCGCAATGCCGGGGAACCCGAGGAACAAGACCAGGGAACCCGAGGAACGCAAACAAAGAGCATGACCAGGGAACCCGGGGAACCCGAGAAAAAAAAGGCGGAATCCGAGGAACCGAGGCAAGGAGCAAACGGAGAGCCCGAGGACCCCAAGCAAGAAACAGGACCAGGGAACCCGAAGAACAAGACCTGGGGCCCAAGGCCCTCGTAAGGAAATGAAGCCAGGAAGCCCGGAGCACCCAGGGAACCCGGGGAACCCTGGGAGCCCGTGGAATCCGGCCGGGTAACCCGGGGAACTTGGGGAACCGGGGAACCTGGGAATCCCGGGGAGCCTCCGAGGAACGGGCAACGTAAGTCGGAGGCACCAGGGGCGAGGAACCCAGGGAACTGAGGAACCAAGGTAACCTCCGAGGAACGGGCAACGTAAGAATCGGAGGCACCGGGGGCGAGGAACCCGGGGAATTGAGGAACCCGGGGAACCTCCGAGGAACGGGCAACCTAAGAATCGGAGGCCCCGAGGGCGGGGAACCCCGGGGAACCTCCGAGGAACGGGGGGCCAAGTGTAGCCCCCCGAGGCACCAACTTTCAACCAAGGAAAAACTCCTGAGGCAAGCCTAAGTACTTGGGAAAAACGTCACCGGGTGTTCTCCATCTGGCTACCCCTCTTCTCTATCGTCCTCTAGATGTTCGTTCCCCCTCCCGCCGGTGCTATGGGCGGGAGGGGTCGAGGGCCGCATCCGCTCGGGGAACCAAAGGCCCGCACGTCGAAGGTCGAAGGACGAAGGAGGAGGAGGAGGAGAAAGAGGAGGAGGAGGAAGAGGAGGAGGAGGAGGAGGAGGAGGAGGAGGAGGAAGAGGAGGAGGAGGAGGCGGAGGCGGAGGAGGAGGGAGAGGAGGAGGAGGAGGAGGAGGAGGAAAGGCGAAGGCGGAGGCGGGGGAGGAGGAGGAGTAGGAGGAGAAGCGGGAATGAGTAGGAGACGGAGGAGGAGGTGAGGAGGAGGAGGAGGAGGAGAGGAGGAGGGGAGGAGGAGGAGGAGGAGGAGGAGGGAGGAGGAGGAGGAGGAGGAGACGGAGGAGGAGGTTGGGGCAGGGCCAGCCGGCGCAGCCAGGTCAGAGTCAGGGGCGAGTCGCGGTGAGGCGGCTCAAGAATTCCGAGATGGAGAGGCTGACATGGCAGGATCGGCGGATTGGGGGGGGGCACGCTTCCGATGTTGCCGGGGAAAGAAGGGGCACTTCCCCTGAGGAGGAGGAGAGAGACAACGGGAAGAAGAGAAGACGTGCAGGCGGAGGAGGAGGGCGACGACGACGACGACGACGATCAGGAGGAGGACGGGGAGGAGCAGGAGGAGGAGGAGGAGGAGGAGGATGAGGAGGAGCAGATGGAGGATGAGGAAGAGAAGGAGGAGGATGAGGATGAGGATGAGGATGAGGATGAGGATGATGATGATGATGATGATGAGGAGGAGGAGGAGGAGGAGGAGGAGTAGGAGGAGAGGCGTTGTGGCCAAGGCGGGTGCCAAGACCTCAGGTGGTCGCACACCCGATACATAGCCAACCCTTCGCGCAGCCCAGGAGGCCGCTACAATTTTGTTTCAGGGCCTCTCCCTGACTGTACACCACGAAAAGGATACGAGAGGTCGCCTGGCATTGCAGGCAGAGACTACGGCGAACTCAAGCGAGAGTCATCTTGAGGATCGTCAGAGCAAAACGGACGCTAGACGACCACCACGCCAGCCCCAGAATCGTGTCTGGAAGCATGGCAGAAAGGTCGCAAACATAGGTTTGCCAGCGCAGAAAACACGTTCAGCCTTGCCATTGGTTCTGTGGTTGTGGCAAGCCCTATCAGCAGCGTCGCCGTCAGAGGTCACACAGTCGCACGCATCAGATCGCTGCGCACGACAGCGCCGCCCCTCAGTACATCCAGAAGGTCCCTCTCGCTTCCATGTTATGTGCAGAGAACCATCCAGAGTGGGAGAAATGGAGGCCACCACAAGAAGGAGATCAGGCGGCTCACTACAAGAAGCGTGTCAAGGAGAGACACTTCACATTGGCAGAGCTGGCTGTGGCCCCCAACATTGCCGACAAATCAGATATGCAAGAACAAGAAGAGTTGATTAGCCATGCTAGCATACTTCCTCAGTATCCTCAAGCCAATCGGCGACCAGTTGGCGGATGCAAGGTATCGCAAGAACAAGCTAGAGCAGTCATTGCGCGAGGCCGTCAACAAACGCAAGGAGCTGGAGATGAGGGAGTTCGAGCTAGAAAACAGATCCAGGACATCAGGTCCACAGAGCAGGCCTTAGAGCAGCATCAGCAGGAGGAACAATGGCAGCAGAGCAACGGCGTATTCAAGAACCTGCAGCGCGGACCCATGGATGTTGGAAGTGCCTCAGGCTTCGTGGATGTTCCCCCTCCCCCTCAGCCGCCAGCACCACAGACACCAGCTGGAGATGCGGTTCGGGATCCATACGGTGGGCGTACTGTCTGGGATCACTTACCACCGCGATCGAGGGAGTTGGCAAAACCTGGAAATCAATCCGAAACTTTCTTACAATACGCAGCAACAGGACACCATCGCCTCAACCCTTCAATTGATGATGCCACGGCAGGACAACATGGAGCAGCAGTTCACCATGTTTCAGCAAAACCAGATGACAACAATCCTGTGAAAAAAGGTTCGGATGGGAAGATGGGGTTTACTGCTGCAGGCCAGGCTCGCAAAGGGCCTGGCCAGTCGCAACCGCCAGCAGCTTTGCCGCAGAGTGGTCAAACGCAGAGCCCGATCCCGATCACGCCACCTACCTCGGCCAGGGCAGTCAGCCCTACTGTACCCCAGTGGCATCGCAGGCAGCTGCAGAGGAGTTCAATCGCTTACATCCTACACCGTTCACGACGGGCATCATGGAGCACATGAAGGTTGCAGACGAGAAGCGCCAGCAAGCAGAGGAGACCGCAATTCCTGGAACGCCTGGGCCGACCCAGTTTTGGGGAGCGTTGGTTTCAGAATCTCTGGCGAAGATGGTATCGCAGAAGCTTCTAGAACCGACGCAGCAGATGAACGTGAGTCAGGGGGATGATTTGTTTTACCTGGGCCGTCCCAGGAGATCACAGCGAATCCGATGTCAGGAGCGAACCACAGCGGGTTGACTCAGCAGATGCAAACTTTTCCAACAAGTTGGGAGCCAGGCCCTCCGAGGGTGGATCGGGCACCACGCCTCCGCACAAGTCCAACATGCTACTCAGTTCGGACAAGGAGTTATGGGTGATTTTACGAGTGGTATTCTGTCTGGCGAGAGCGTGGCAGTTGCAGGCATCCAACTAGCAGCAGCCACCGTCAACTCACCTGTCAGCAAGGCCAAGCGCGTGTCTTTTGCACCTGAAGACACAGTCTCTTGCGCCACTCTCGACAGGCGTCTCAGGCAGCGACCCATGTCATCTCTTTTATTCTTCTCATCTGTGCTTCCATCTGCTCTCGCATCATCTGCCACCGTAGGGCAATCCACATTCTCTAGTGCTCTTGAGCAGTCAGAAGCATTACATTTCTCGCAGTGCAGTTCTAGTGGTGGCGTTCTCGATAGGAGTACTCCGGATTCCAAATGAAAAGGTAGTGCTCTGACTTTTATGGGGTCTGATTTGAGTTGTTTGGGAGGTTTCCAGTGGGGCCAGGGCAACGGGTTGCCCTTTCATGGCTGGTCTGGGGGAGGTACAGAACTGCTTGTCTGGGAGGGTTTTGACCCCCTTCCTTCACGAAATCTGGGGTACCTTGAAGTGGCGGAGGCGGAGGAGGAGGAGGAGGAGGAGGAGGAGCAGGAGGAAAAGGAGGAGAACGAGGAGGAGGACCCCGAGGAGGAGGACCCTGAGGAGGACCCTGAGAAGGAGGAGGAGGAGGATGAGGAGGAGGAGGAGGAGGGAGGCAAGGAGACGAGGGGCATGTTAAGTAGGAGGGGGACGATGACAACGTGCAGGAAAATGATGGAGGAGGAGGAGGATGAGGAGGAGGAGGAGGAGGAGGAGGAGGAGGTGCAGGAGCAGCACCAACAGGATGAACGTGCCTAGGCTCAGGCCTTACAGCGCAATTGATTTTGCAGCAGGTGTCCTTTCGGGGCGACGGCAGTTCGTCCGATGTGTTCGCGCATCTGCACGCTCGCTTACCGATGGCCCTGCCTTGAGCCTCGAGCGCGTGCAGGAACTGACCTTTCGAAACAGGAGATGGGTGGTGACGGATGTTTAAGGTGTAGGGTTTAGGAGAGGACGGAAACGCATTCCATCCGAAGAACATCTCGCACATTACAGGAGCGCGCCCACGGATTCTGTGCCCGCGAAACCAGATCATTTCAGGGTCTGCCGCGATGCCACCGCGCGTGCGCGCAACGCACGGGCACTTCCTCCCGAGGACCCCTTCCACTCGCTGGTGCACCACAGCACTGTCAAGATCATCGCGTCCTTGGCTGATCAATGGTAGGGTCGTTCACTGGTCGGGGCGATCGGTGGGTACCGCTGTCGCCGGGGGCATTCGGCTTCCCCATGACCACAGGCATGGCAGAACGTACGCTCGGTCGATGACTCGAGCTTCTTGTCTTTGTATCACAGCGTTGGAGAGCTGCAGCTGGCAATGGCAACGGAATCCGCTCCTGTGGGAAGAACAGGTGCTCGCTCCACCACATGGGCAGGATCCGCTCGCGCGTGATCCGGCAGGGGCCTGGCGGCGGGGGGGGGGGCGGGGGATGGGCAAACGATTCTTACCAAGAGCGGCGCCAAGAGGTGTATCGTCTTGTGTGTTCCCCAGGGGGGGGGGGGCGAGACTGCCCCAGGAGGGCGGAGGGGGGGCGGGGACCTTGGGGAGGATGGGGGTGCCCGCCGAGACTTGGCACGCTCCTCGCACTCCTGCGTGCGCACGGCGCGGCGCTCGAGTGGACCTCACGGGGTGCCGCTCAGCGACGCTCCAACAAAAACAGCCGCACGTCTGCAGCCGAGCTCGGCCCCCCCGCTGGGCAGCCCCGGCCGCCCCCCCAGCGCGGCCGCGGGCGGCGAGAGGGGACCGCCGCGGGCTTGGGCGGGAGGGCCAGCGCGTCGCCGCTGCTACGGGGCGTGAAAACGACCACAGCCATTGCTTTTGTTTTGTTCCCGCCTTCCAGCCAGCAGAAACAAAGCAGTGGCTGTGGTCATTTTAGTTAAGCTTGGCACCAGGGAAATGACCACAACCACTGCTTCTTTTTCGGCCGGCTGGAAGGCGGCGCAAACAAGAAGCAGTGGCTGTGATCATTTTCCCGTCCCGCAGCTGCCGCCCGCTTCCCGGCTCGGCGCGGGGCGGTCACGGCCGCAGGGCCGGCGAGCGCCTGGGCTCGGCGTCACCCCAGCATAATTATATTATGTATGTGCGTCGCCTCGCCGGGGGCGATGCGCGCACCGAGAGAGCTTGCAGTATGTGCGTCGTGGCGGGCGCTTTCTGGCCACACCGCTCGGGAAACGATGTACTACAAGGTGGGTATACTATATGTTTGGGTCGGACGCGCGCCTCCAAGGAGAACATATAGTACTAGTATGTCTTTGTGCTTCCCATGGGCCGCGGCGGGAAAACCAGCTTCGAGCGGCGGATCCGCGGATCACCTATACAGCTGATCATCTGAACGAAAAGCCTCCTTCCGAAGTGCTGGGCGCCAGCCTTTCTGGACCATCCATTTTGTGCCGGGAATGGCCACTGTCTTGATCACGCTCGCCCCCCCCCCCCCCCCTCCCTCTCCTCCCCCAGCGTTGACGGCAGAGCTTTTGGCCCAGGCTCGGCTCAGGACGCCTCCTGGAAGCCTCCTGGAAGTTCGGCCAAACAGCAGACGACACCACCCTACCTACGGCTCTCCATGCTGCGCTACGGCCCATCAGGTGCCGTAGCGCATAACACTCAAAGGCCCATGCCAGAATGCATGATTTGTTCTGAGGCCCGTGGGGCCGTAGGTGGGGTGGTGTAATTTGTTTTCTGGTCCATAAATGACAGTGTTCTGGATCAGATGTTCGGCCGTATGGTGGGTCGATTTCGGGCCTCCCAGAGGAGGGCAGAAACCCGACCCTGCCGAGGGTCGATCTGTGAATTGCATGCCCCTGTTCGGTGCTCGAGCGGGTGGTGCGGCCGCGAATGCTGCAGGC